CCCATGGGTAGGGCTTGCAGCTATTCGAAGTTTGTGTCTAGTAACTGAGTGGCAATTTGAGTATAAAAGTAGATACACTGGGTTTTATGTACCAGCAGCCAGCTGCAAAGTTATCTGGGAGTTACTGATAGTTTTTGCTGTAGTTTTATCTGGTTGGCTAGCCAAAAGATAGCTTGGGGGCCATGTTATTCTAGGACTATCCAGTGAGATGATTTGTTTACAGCAGAAGGCAAATCCCACAGAGAGTGTTGGAGGAAGAAAAGGTCTCTGAGGTTTGAGAGAGCTTGGTGGGAATTAGGAAACACAGCAGCAGCAGGGACAGGGTCACCTCCGAGCAGTGTTAAAGGTCATTGTGACAGAGGTAGTGGAGCTCGCCATGCCAAAAGGGTCAGCTCAGGGAGCATGGAGGTGGTGGGACATGCTGGAGGTGCTGAACAGCTTGGGAAACTAAGTGCTCTGAGATGTTTTTCTTTCCTTTTGTGTTCTGTTAAAAAGCAGAGTCCAAATGCAAAATCCTAGCTCAGGGCCGCAGCCTGTACACAACTCTTGGCTGAGCTGAGCAGCTGCTGGGGCTGAGAGGCAAACACAGCCCTAGTGCTATAGGATGCTACCACCGCTAGGAATTTCTGGTGTCCCACATTTTACACCTTAAGCTGTGTTGCCTGAGCATTCTTCTGCTCAAGTGATAGTACAGGTCTTGTTTATCTGACTCTTATTGCTTTTCTCCCTTTTGGAGTAGAGGAACATGTTAGAGGAGTAATTAGATGGAAGGAATTAAGAGTATAGTGTGTGTAGTAATATGAAGGAAACTGTCAGAAATTGGGAGATTTTGCTTGGGTTTTTTTTTTAATATAATGTGAATCTAGAATCAGACTGTCTCCTTGGGGATTTTTTTCGGTGTGAATGCTGTTAGCCAGACTTCAGGTGCTTTGTCTTGACCATTTTCTCCAAGGGATACTCCTATATAATTACAGTCTTGGTGGCTCACAGATGGAAACTGGGCAGGGAGAGAAAACTGCAAAGGCACAAAAAGCTGCTACCTTGTGGTTTCCGATGAAACTAACACTTGGGCTGCAGTGCAAGAATTGCTTTGTGTTTTGGGACTGGAGATGGTCAAGTGAATACTAGAGAGTTGTTCAGGCAGTGTGATGTAACTTCTTTTTCTTCTCGATATATTATTTGCAAATGACTTACAGCTTTATTTTTTTTTAATAGGAGTATTTACTGTTCATCCTTGTGCAAATATTCTGAGAATAAATATCACCCTTTTAAAACAGACGAGGATTTCTGAAATCTGAAGCAGATTGTTACAAGTGTGCTAATGTAAGATCAAGTGAGAAAGGATGAGATGTGGCTCTTAGCACCTTCATGGCAATGACAGCTCACCTGGTAGGATTTGGAGGAGTTGGGCTACACAGGGCCATGCTCTGTAGCAGCATGAGCTGATGTTAACCCAGTGTTACTGCAGTCCTCCCCCATCTCCTGTCTGTATGTCTATCTACTCTAAACAGACTGCTCCTTCCACAGCTGCGGATGGAGAGGGTGAGAAAGAAAAGCCGGCTGGAGAGGGCAGAGGGCAGCGCTTTCAGATGTCAGGCTGTGGCATACTTGGGTGATTTTAACTCTATTTCCCATGTTCTTTTCAGAAGAGATTGCCTGAAAAATTGTTGTCGGGGATATCAGCCCAGTGGGCTGTCCATCCCAGAGCCAGGGAGAGAAGCTATTAGCAAAGGCAACTTGCCCTTTCTGATGCAACGTTCACGTACCCCTTGTCACCAATGCCTGTTGCATTTGCAGTGGGTAACCTGTTGTGTGACCTGTGGTTTTATGTTGACTTTCTCTGCTGATTCCCAGGGCAGCAGCCTGCTGCACAAGGGAGCAGTTCCACATGCAATGGGACTGAGCCCCCGGGCCGTTGCAGAGGTTCTTCATTAGCTCCCTCTTCACCCATGTCCCAGCAAGTCTGAATGCTTGCAGTTGTAACATGTCTGGCCCCAGGACTGTTTTCACACTTCCCGGCCAGAGGAATATGCTGTGCAATGAGCCTTGTGTGTTCAGTGTCTTGGGCCTGTGATGCCTGTGGGACCCAGGTCTGGATCACACCTTCGGTAAGGCAGTTCCCTTCAGGATGGGTTGTGCTTGCAGCGTGTGGAGCAGTTGTGCCACAGGATTTGAGCTGGGTCCAGCTTCTGTGCTTGTGATGTCCACAGTTTCTTAGTGCCCATCAACAGTGAGAAAGTCTATCCCACATGTCCTGGGCATCTCCAGTTTCACAGCCCAAATACTGCAGGCCTGTTTTGTGTACAGGTTTCAACTTGCCCATATGATCACTTGCCTGGGACTTAGAGAAATTAGGCATCTAAGTTGGATCTGCTACTCTGACTGTGCTGCATAGAGTAGAAATGCTGGGCAAGAAAGCAGAATTGTTTACATGGCTGTCTCCTTGCTCGCACAAAATTTTCCAAGTAGAGCAAATGGGTGTATCTGGGAGTTTTTTGGTACTGATGGTAATTTCCATGATTTCTGTGTATGACAAGGATTTGCTCCGTGCTCCACAAAGTAGTTGAGGTAGAAACCTTTTCATTGATTCAGGGAGATGGAGCTTGCTTGCTCAATTTGCCGTGGGTGGATAAAGCTGATCTCTGTCTTGTACTAATTTTGCCTGAACTGGTAGTTTATAGTGTGAACTGAGTGAAAACTGTTGCAGCCCCAGAGGCCTCGTGCCTAGGTGCATCACAGCACCAGTGTGAGCATCAGCAGGGTGCCTTTCCTGGGTCTAAAGCAGAGCTGCTATGGAGGGTGGCTTTGCTGCAGAGGTGGGAAAAGGTTGACTGATAGATGGTTGCTAAAAACTCCAGTGCTGAATCTTTTATCATATAAAATTGAAGCCAGATATGTTGGAAAGTCAGTAGGCTGTCCTAATATGTGGAACATTTCAACAGAGGTGTGATATTTCATATACTGCTGCCATTGCTTGAAAGTCACGCTCACCCAGCTAGAACAGGGATTATTTTTTTTGCTATCTCCGGCTTTCTTGGAGGAAAGAGCAGAAACTGATCATATGCATGTGATAATCCAGGGAAGAAAATAGATGCTGAACAATCTCTGAAGCTGTTTCCTTTTTATACAATGAATAACTGCTGCATATGGAGTTATTTGCTATGCACCAGTGACTTAATAAAATATGCTTTTATTATTTGGACACCTTTCCTGACTTCATATGAAGTTGATATCTTGGTTATTTTTTTTACCTGATACTTACCTGAGCAATGCAATTGAAATGCCAAAGCCTTACGTGTCTAATGTAGACTTCCTGTTTCTATAGCAACAAAACTCGACCTTGTACTTAATGCAGGAATATTGGAGTGTGAGTAACTGTGACTTTAAGGTTTAGAAAAACAAACAGAAGCACTTTTTATTTGGAGATTAGAGAAATAAAACGGAAGTGACCTCTTTGCATAGAACAAAAGATGTTTCTTAGGCTTGGGATACTTCATTAGTAGAAATGAAACCATATTAATGTCATAAGGAGCTCTGTGTTTTAATCTTGTTTTCCTAATTAAAATGTAAAAGCCTTTCATAGCATGTGAGAGTCTTTGAGGGCTTTTTACCCCTCTTTCTTTTCCAAAGCTGCTGTGTTTGTGGTTAGGCTAATGAAAATTTGGGCTGCCTTACAACAGATACATTTTACTTCTGTTTTGGCAAAAATTCATTGATAGATTTTGTATGGGCTGAAAAGGAAGGGAGAAAAATGTGTGATGTTTAATCCTGGATTTGATCTACAGGCTACTTTTTGGTCGGTTAGTTTAAATCTGTGTTACAGTGATAAATGCTGACAAGCTACAGATGAGAGAGTGAATGAAGGAGCAGCTGTCATCTCTTCCTATTTTCTTATAGCTTTTCAATTACAGTTTTAATAACCATTAAATTCTAATTTAAAACAGCCACAGGAAACATCCCCAAAAAAAGCAACAATGCTGACAGCGACATATCACAAATGTTTATCACAAATGTTTATGAGCCTGTTTCTGTATCAGCATTCCAATAAGTACTACGCATTTGTGGCAGGTTTATTGCACTTCAGTATTAATGTGTAGAAGTGAATGTGGGCAAATGGGAAATATGTTGCAATCTGACCAGTGAAAAACTTTCCACAAGGTAGTCCAATTTTTCTGTTTGCTGTTTCTTCTGTGACTTTTTTTAATTTTGTTAAGCTGTGATTCTGATAAATTTGTCTTCTGACTGAATAAAGATAGCCAGAATTCAGGATTTAAGGAGACGTTTTATCTACTGAACTCACTTGTCAGCAGGCAGCTGAGACAACCAAAGATGCCAATGATGGTGGTAAATTACCCCACAGCAAAAGGAAGGGTGGAAGGCAGGATAAGACAGATGGAAGGTTGACTTGTTTGAAAGTTGATCTAGATAAGCTATTGCAAAAAGCAAACCCAGAAACAACCCACTCAGCAAAATCCAGCTTGAAACTGGCTGAGTCGGAGCATATTAAACTGTGGGCAGGTGGCATCCCGTATGAGCTGGGAGCCTGCATCCTGCTGAGAGCTGTGCTCTTCTGCCTCCCAGCAAACTGATTGGAACGGTGTGTGGTGTCTCTGAGAAGTGTGAAAAGGCACGACCCAAAATCTTTGGCTTTTATTTTATTCTACATTTCCTTTTAAAGATAAATATCTTACAATTTGGTGAAATGCTTCTCTAGGCAGAGACTGAAGGAAATCTGGCAATGAGGTTACAGCAGGTCTGCAGGAGTGGCACTAGGTATGGAAGTTGCAATGTTTCACCATAGCCAGCTGATAATGAGCTTCTCTAGAGCTGCTAGGGTGTTTGAAGCCTAAATACAGGAGGAAGCAAAATGTATGTGATTCTGCATAGCTTTGACCAAAGGTCTCAAAGGACATGAACTCCCTGAAAGTTTCATAGAGGTGCTCTGGGGATATCTTTGCTGGTGGGGAGGCTAATGTGTTTGTGTGTGCTCTGTGTTTCAGGGATAGAGCTCTGTCCTCCTGGGCACCGGTTCATGATCACCATGGTGGCGAGCTTCATTGAAATGGCGGGGCAGTTCCTCATGCCGGGGCTGGCTGCCCTCTGCAGGGACTGGCAGGTCCTCCAGGCAGTCATCATCTGTCCTTTCCTGCTGATGCTGCTTTACTGGGTGTAAGTATTTCTTCCTCCTGTCAGGTCAAAGGCAACATGAGCTCCTAATGCGGGACTTGGGCAGTGCTTCACTGTCGGGAAGTGTGTGTGCTTCACAATACATATGAGCCTGTCCCTTTGTTCTTCCATTCACCTTGTGCAAAGACTTGACTTTGAAATAACAATAACTTTATAATCTACCGTAGCACGCATATACATTACATGCTGTGACAAGATGGGAACTGGGGAGATGGTCCTCTTTGATTGAGGTGCAATTTGTATTTTGCTGTCTGTCACTTCCCCTTTAAAAATGAAAACAGATTTTGAGAAGATACATCTCAGCCTAGCTGTTGTCAGATTATGACTGCATGGCTACGTTTTCCCTTAATACCTGTGTTGTGGTTCTGTACTGTCACTGCTCATTTCTTTGACCTGGGTTATCCAAAAGAGGTTGAAAATAATGTGTGTCAGCTCTTGAACAAACACCCTTGGATATCTTGTGTACATGAGGTAGTCAGCCCTGAACTAGACTTGATTTTGCCCAAATTAGCTCACGCTATGCTGAAGTCTGTGTGGGTGGTCTGTTCCAGGCAGTGGTTCAGGATTGTTCCCACAAGGAATTCCCCGCTCCCAGATGCTCCCACTCCTCTCTGCCTGCGGCACTGGGGCATTGATACAGCTATCCTGAGAGAAGTAGGATGGCTTTCACCTTGGGGATGGTGCCAGGTCCATCCCCACTGTGACTTTTTAAACCTCCCAAAAATCTTACTTTGTTGTTCTGTCTTAATAGTGACACGCAGTGGCGGCATAACACAACAGAGGCTTATGAGAGCAGTTATGTACAAAACCATAACAGTAAGAACAGGCTAGATCGTTCATTTTAAAGATAATACTAATAAGTCTAAAATATTAGTTGCTGTGCACTCAGAAAAATGAGGTAAGAGGCCATCACGCTGTGCAGGACCAAGTTGTTTATGTACCCATGGGGGGCTAGGCTGCTAGCTGTAATGCCTGACAAGTTGCAATGTGTGAAAACTTGTTACAGTATGTAAGAATTTTTAACAGTTATATTCTTGTATCAACTTCTTCCAGAGTTCTCTTGTGTCCATGATGGTAACTCTCAGTGGGGATTTTATTGCTTATTCCCAGGGCAGACATGCTGCAGCATGGGCAAAATGCAGCACACAGGAGAAAGTTACAAGTCCTTTGCAAGATAATGGCAGGGGTTTTACCCCTGTATTCCAACATAACATTTAAATAGTCTTATCTTGTCAGTGTTGATCTCAATGAATACTGAAGAGTGGGGTTTTTTATGCATGATACTCCCGTCCCATACCTGCCATATGTTATCCATGTGCAGGTCTGCTTCCTGTTGCGATGCCACCAGCTGAAATGCCTTACATCCACCACTGAATAGAACCCAGTATCAAGCATAATGTTTACAGATATGTGTCCAAAGGACATTACACTAGTATGAAGATGCCTAATGAACACAGTAGATGGGATGGACAGCAGGCACCCCTCAGCAGTCTTCTGGAGGTTGCATGTTTTCCAGGTGGCTGTGGCAGGGTCTTGTGTGTTCCTGTCGAGAGGTTGTTCCTGGGTGACATTGAAAGCAATAGGAAATGTTAAAATTTATTTTGTAATCTGCAAGAGCTCTGTGGCTTTTTGTCTGTACAGGACAGGCAAACCAAGGAAATAGGTCTCCGTCATATAATGTTGGTTATGGCAGCTTGATAAATAGTGGTACCAGCGAAAGGATCAGGATTTGTGTTGCCCAGGGTTTTTCCGTTTGCAGAAATGGGCTCTGGTTAGGATGCCTGTTTAATTATACTGTCAGTACAGTATGTACTTTTCTCTTAGGCTTTTCTCTTCCATCTGTTGCATATTCTCTGGAAAGTGCTACCATTTCATTGCCTCTTTCCTTTCTTCCAAATGGAACATGGACCCTCAGCATGTGTTACAAATGAAGGAAGAAAACTAACTGATGGGTAATAAAAGAAGAACACTGCTCGTTAATTCACCATCATGTACGCAAAGCAGTGAGTTCAATAACAAATGTTGTGAACAGCCCCTGCACTGCCTCCTCCTTCCTCTGTACTCTCTTTACTTCCATCTCCTGCTGTGAGAGTGGCGTTTGCCTCTGCAGGCTGGGGCTTAGCCCCCTCCCACCTGTAGATTTGCTTTGCTTTTGGCCACGTGCACATGACAGGCTATACAGTCCCCAGGTGGTGCATGGCTGAGCAGACTGGGTAGCTGGGCATGGATGGGGGAAAGGGGAGACAGCAAATATGTCTAGGAGGGATGAACAGGTGGGTTTGGATACAAAGGTATCGAGCAGGTGCCACTGCTGGGCTCTTAGGTCATTCTGGAAGGGCAAAAGATACCCACGTAGGCCAGACTTGGGCACAGGGGTTTGTGACAAGTGTATAAAAATAAGTCAATAGAAGTTAGTCTCTTTTCAAGTGTGTATGTATATTAAAGCCATGAGGGAAGGGGAGCTCCAGTTATACAGAGACCTTATTTTCTCTCGCTTGGAGCAGGAAGCTCCAGACAGGATGATGCGATGAATGTCAGCAAAGGTATCAATAGCTTGAAATAAACTTCTGCTTCACACTAACAGAAACTGAAGAACTGAGAAAAGGTGGCCAGTTCTTTTCTGGTGCTGATAGATAGGATTTACCCTCACGAAGACACAAAGTTGGACCAACTGGGCTTATTGCCTTGGGGCAGATCCCTAATTGACACATTACACCCTTTTCATGGGCATCCATTTTCCACCCATCTGCACAGGATCACGGTTTTCCTTCCAGCTACACGTGGTACCTTCCTAGTCCTTGTCTGTCAAGGGTTCTTCTTCTCTTAGGATTTCTTGGACTTGAGATCTTTTTTTCCCCAGTGTCCCTTCCACTCATTCCCCTCTCCTTTCCCAAGCAGCAGCAGCTGCTTGGAAATTAATGTCTCCTCGTACTCACTCTGTGTTCTTTTCCCTGACTGTAAAAGCATGGCCCTTTCCTCACTGATGGTGGAGGTAGCAGACTATCAACCAGCTATGTGGGGAAAATACTGAAAAACAAAGTTCAGCAGGAAGAAATGCATGCATCGGCTATATTGTTCACCAAGGACAAACTGTCTGCACATCTTAGGAGCAGGAACACTGAGGGAGGTTGGTGTACCACTCTAAGGGAGACATGAAACAAAGGGTGGAGTGGCACAGAGGTGTTGCAGTCATGCTCTGTTTAAAACAATGCAGCTAACGGGAACTGTAAACCAAAGGAATGACCCAAAAGGTGACCAAAAGCTGAACTTTGCTACATCAGCTCAAAAATACATATTACATTTCACGCCTCCACATAGGCTAATAATCATTTAATCAAAGTCACTCAAACACCAACCTAAACATGAAATGACATTAGCTGTAGCTTTACCTTTTCCCCTCCCTCAAAGAAAACAATACAAATATAGCTTAACTGGGGATGGAGGTCAGAGGAGACTCCATCTTTGTATCCTGGCGTGGTCAATGGGCTGTACCTATCTCTTCTCTCATTGCCTGTTGTATGAGAATCGAACACTCAGCAATACCAAGTGCTTCTTCAGGAAATTCAAAAAGCAAGCTTGTGTTTGTGTTCATACTTTTAGCACTATTTAGTCATCTTACAATTTAATATGTTTATTGATGGCTGTATTATTCATATTTTAAGTATTCATGTATGCTTCTGCAGACAGTGTACTTATCACCAGCAATCCAAGAAGCTGCATTTCTGTTGCTTGATAAATGACACTTTTGTACCTGGCCATGAGAGCTATTGAATGTGACCAGACTTCTAGTCTGGCCATGAGAGTTCATTGAGTGCAACCAGACTTAGTGTATCACAGAGTCAGCTGAGCCTGCTGATCTGGGCAACTGCCCACCTTCAGCAGTAACCTGTCTCAGCTTCATTCAATTAGTATTTAATGCCAGATGATAAAGTATGAGGTGGTGAACAGATTTCTGTGCAGAAGTCCACTGGGACCAAGGGATTGGGTTTGTTTTGGTTTTTTTCTTTTTTTTAGCTTTTGAGTTTGTGATGGTACTTGGTACAACAACAGAAGGTGCAACAGTAGGTGCATACAGATGATGCTTGGCTGCAGGATCCATGCCCCACAAATGAGCTCAGGTGCTTGCACAGAGATGGGGCGGCCAGCACTTCCCCTTGCTGTGCCTGGTAACCTGGGCTCAAGGCAGCACACAAGTTTTTAAAGATCCTTAATGAACCTCCCGCTGCTCACACTTAATGATGGAGTAGCTGAAAGATGTGAGGCTTTAGCGTTTCCAGTTTGAGAAAACTGCAGGAGCTAGAAGATAGAGACATCATTTTTCCCCACTGTGCAATGCCCATCCCTATGGCTCCCTTTCTTTTCATAGATGCGGATAGTCATTATAGGAGTTGTTTGGGACCTTTAAGCAGACTGTTCAAAATCTGAAACTTTTAGCCTAGTGTCTGAGGCTGTCTCCTCTCCAGAACCAAGCATGCAGAGATTTTGCATTCAAAACGTTTTTAATATTTCAAAAAATGCTTTTGCTATACAAGACCTACTGCAGGAGGATATGCCAAAGCATCTGTGCAGCACGAGGGGTAGTAAATAAGCTGTCAAGCTGAATGGCTGTCATCAGAGCTGTTATATATTTTTATTGACTGTTATCATTTAGATTGCAGTCTGCCTGACTTCTCTCCTTTCTACTTCTTTTTCAAAAAATTACTTAATACTTTCTCTGTCTCATTTGGAGGTTTTGCTCAGACGTCTTCCAAATTGTATCAGCCTAAGAGATAGTGCAATAATGGTGCAATTGACTGCTTAAAAGTTTAAGAACTGGGCTGCATCCACAGCAAAGATCAGTGCTTCATAAAGGGAATTTGAGGTTTATTATATATTTGAAGTTAAAAGTAGTTGTTAAATTGTTCTTAGTAAGGTCTTTTGAAAGAGTAGTGAAAGTGAAGCCTTAACACGAAAGAAAAATACACTTGGAGTAAGATCTTAAAGTTTTCATATCTACAGAAGTACAGGAGATTTTGGTTTTTTGTTCTAAGATCTACGTATTTCTTTTGGTTTTGTATTAAAATAAACTCATCTAAAAAAAAAGGAAGGATGATCAGTTAAGCTCATGAATCTGGTAAATATCAGCACTTGAAGGAAACAACTGGACAGAAAAACTTTTTTAACTGTGTGCGTGTATATATTTTTAAGGCAACTCAACTAACACAATATTGTCTTTACTAAGGGAAGCTTTTAAAACAACAACTAAATATTGTCTGGAACACACACAATACTGACCTGTATAAAGAATGACTGCATACGTGGGAGGAGGTTTTTAACATGTTTAAAACCTGAGAAAATATGTTGCAATATAATCCTAAGAAGTAATTCTTCTCTTTCCTTTGTCTTTAGAAGAGAACCCAAATTACTTCTGTTAGCTATTTTCCTTCTTTGGTCTGAATTACCATGTGTTAACTGCACATCTCATTCATTCTCTTCTTGGCAGCAAATGTCTATTGCAGACAGCACTGCCTCCTCCTCCCAGTTCTTTCAAAATTATATTAATGGACAGAGCACCTGGAATGTGTTATAGAATTCTAATTTGTCCTATTTCCATGGGATAGCACAGTTCCTCTATCATTTGTGAAGCAAGGTAAAAGAAAATGTCATTAATTTGCACATTCTGAATTGGTTTTCCCTCCTTTTTTTGTTTCATGAGTGATTCTTCTGCATGTTGAAATAATTACATAGCTCCTGAGTGGTTAAATGAGCGGCTAAAACTCTATCAGTTCATCCTCTGACAGAAACTTGGAAGAAATCTTAACCTGTTTTCTGTCTTCAAAGTATTTTCCCAGAGTCCCTTCGGTGGTTGATGGCTACACAACAATTTGAGGCATCCAAGGAACTGATCCTTCAGTTCACACACAAGAACAGGATGAACACAGAAAGCGACATCAAAGGAGTAGTGCCCGGTGAGTAGGACAGACAACTGCAAATCCCCCAGCTTCTCTGTAAAGGCTGCACGTGGCATTGCTGCCCAGAATTAAATTATCCATTTATTGCCTGTAAAATCATCCCATTCATTCATTCATTCATTCATTTTGCTTTTCTTGAAAATCCATTCCAAACTCCAGCACTGTGTTTAAAACTACTTGGCCTGTTGAACAATCCTAGTAATTATAGTCTTGTCTTGCAGTGCCGTATGTCTTTAGAGACATCTCTTGAAGAATTTTACCACGGCTACAAGAGTGCGCCTTCAGCTCTGTGTGCCTCTGGAAACTGTGTTATAAGGAAGCTGCTTGCTGGGATCCTGCCCATCAGCCAACATTTACTTTTTTAGTTTGGAGAAGCAGCAGCACTCAAACCCCCTATGTGACAGCCCCATGGGAAACTTAAACCACAGTTTCTCTTTAAAGCTTTGCTCCAATAGCTGTTTTGCTTTCCTCTCCTGCGTCATCTGAGTGATGCTGCTTTAGGGATGGGGGGTTGCTGCAAGTGGCAGCACTAGGGTGCAGTTTTTGCTTGAGAGTCTAAATTATCAATTTCTTGGTTTTCTGGTGCTTTTGGAAAGAGCTGGCTCCTCTCATCACCAGAACTGTCACTGAAATAGCCAAGATCCTGTCTTGCAGGGTGCTTTGCAGAAGAGACTTCTCTGTGTGTGCTCACGTGTGTGTGTGTCTGTCTGTCTCTACAGCAAAGATGAGTTTCTGGATCTTCATCTCACCAGTGCACCTGTCAGATACGATGCAGGCTCCCCCCCTCCTTCTCACAAGCCTGACTCTGCCCATAAACACCCATTTTGCATTGTCACTTGCAATCTGTGTCAGACTATGCACTAGTCAGAAAACAGTGAAAACATTTCTTGTTTTCCTGTTTTTTTCAAACCCTACCTCCTCTGGTCCCAGGGGCTGCAGGGAGACCTCGCCCAGAAGTGATGCTTCTGCGCTTGTCTGATACGTGCTGTCAGAGATCTCTGGGGTAACTGTAGCTTCAGTCACTCACTGCTAAAGGCATCAGTCAGCACTGAGACAGACTTCATCAAGGATAGAAAAAGACCATTACCAGTGTCTAATGAATAAAACAGTCTTTATCAGTGAGCAGTGAGAAAGCCTGGTTAGGGTCTGTGGTATACATACCACCATAATCATTGGTGTGATTTTTGGTGCACACTGGTGGTAATTAGCTTGCTTGCATGTAATTGTGTGTCTGGGGTTACAGTTCCTGGATTTGCATCACACAACATGCCTTTGCAATGTAAATGCTGTTTTTGTGGCAAAGTTCTGAAAAGCATAGGGGTATGTGAGCAGCCATTAACCTGGTGATCTGCATCCCCCCCTCCATCTCCTTTTTGCAGATCTTCCTCACAGTAAATGATGGATCTTGAGAAAACCTATCTCTGAGGCTACAAAATGTCTCACAGTTTGACTTGGAGTTTTCCAACTCCTAAGTTTGACTTTTCTCACTCAGCTTCTTGATTTTGCATATGAAATAAAATATATTTTAGGGGAAAGAAAAAACAAATTACCTGAGTTTGCTTTAAGGAAAATAATAAAGAGGGAACTGTGCCTAGAGAGGTTTATTTAAGCCATGTATAAAGTTATTGCCCATGGAGGAATGCTAAGTGTCAAAATGGTTTTATGGCTATTATTTGTGACTGATTTACTTCTATCAGCAGTTTCATGGTAGGAGTATACTCATGCTTAAGGGAGGGACTCCCTTTCATGTGAAAAACAGAGCGTAATTTCACATCTTGATACTGTGGATTCTCTTGACTGCAAATACATTTAGATATAGCAGTTGTCAGTACAATACCTTTTGCAAACTATAAATTGTTCAGAACGTGGTCATTTCTGCCTCCTTGTTGATGATGGGTTCGTTGGGGATGTTGTTAGGGTTTTTTTATTATTTCTTTCCTCACTTTTTTTCTTTAAACTCTTTCTCCAACCCCACACTTTAAGGCTTTCTTGACCCAGCTCTGGAGGGATGCTGCATTGCTGTAGGGGGAGAGTAAGAGAGGAGCAGTATCAAAAGGATGAAGTAAGATTAACTACAAGCTGTTGAAGGAAGGACCTTCTCTCTCATTCTGGTTGCATGGGAGTGTTGATGGTCCGAGTGAGGACAGGAGAAAAGTAGAAATCTTGAATTAAGAATGTGATCAAACCACAGGCCATGTGTCCTGCAGAGGGTCAGTAACCAGAAGAAAGCATTTCTCTGCTTTTGTGTGTTATAATCACATACCCGTAGTTGCTATAGCAGGGAATGGGTAAAAAGCTGGTATTTGTCTGGGAGAAAGGATGCCATTGAGCCTGATGCAGATATCCCCTATTTTCCCTTGACTCCATTGTTGAGCTTTCCTGTCTGTGTGGAGAGGGTTTTGTTTGCGGTTTGTTTTATTCTTTGTTTTCTATCTGAAAGGGCTGGAAACTGTTTTGCTCCAGTTAGGGGCCATTGTGTTCCTGTTTATTATTCCTTGTTGCGTTGTTGTAACAGCCTCCTGTGATTGAATTACTCCCAATACGTTTAAATGATAAACTGCTCATTTGTAGTCCCTTCCAGCAGAAAACACCACTGTAATTTTACTCATACATATCGGTCAAATTAGTGTATCCAATATAACAGATCATTACAGGAGTTCCAGTTTCATATGTACCTATTTTGGCAGTTGATATGAGTTCCATAATAAAAAGAAGGAGCATTCTAGAGGGTAAAGTATTTCTGGGATGGAAGAAAATTTAATTTTGAATTGCTCTCCAAGCAGTGAGCAGGCTGCTTTTCCTTTCTGAAGAATCACATAATTCCCTTTGCCTGCTGAAAGCTTTTACTTGTCCATTTGACTATACTGCCCATAGTGGAGAGTGCCACTGTAGGGCCTGCTTCCTCCTTGGGGAGGTGGCCATCCACATGTTGGGTGGGAAAAAAGGGAAGCAAAATTTATCTGCTTTTGGCGGTCTGTAGGTTGGGAGTGGTTTTCCAGTGCTCTTGTGGGAGATGTCTCTAAAGAGGACAACTAAATGTCCAGACAGTGGTCCAGCTGCAGTTGAAAGGTCTGGCAGCTACAGAAACAACCTCTGCCTGGAGAAAATGAGGGTGGGCAGCTGATGGGCAATGTTCAACCAGCAAGATAGTATGGGACTGTGCTTACATGGGAAACTAGGTGAGAGAAGGGACATTGATAGGAGTCTGGAGTATTGTAGAGTAACGTTGCCCTTATCTTCAGTGGCCTGTCCCAGGGGTGATGTTGGTCACACAAGGGGAACTGATTCCTCAGCATCTTTAAGTGGCTTTATTTTTGAATGATTGATATACTTCGTGATTTTGAGCAGGAATAGTTTGCCTTTGTAAAGAGATCTTTGGGTTTATGTGTTTGTGTTTTTTTCTTTAATGGTTAAGAAATCTAGGTGTGTTAATTAGACATGGTTAAATCATCCCTAATATGTTTTGAGTCTTAAAATTTCATCAGTTTGCTTAACATTTTGTCTTCTTTTAGAAATAAAAGTTAAGATTAATTTTTGCGTGAAGGAAATTATTTTTATTCAACTACATATTGAAATACTATTTTTAAAACAGGCTTGTTGTATTTTGTGGAAAAATATTTCAAAACATTATCCAAAAAAGTCAAATTCAATCAGGAAAATATGAAACATTGTGATAATATTAATTCAGTACAGTCTTTTTAATACCAATTTCTCCAGAAACTTCACCATCTCTTCCCTGTTACCCTGTGGAACAAGAAACAAACGTACATTTCAGGGCAGCTGCAGGACAGTCATTTTGACTGTGAAATAAGTGCTAAATTTCATTTGTAAGTGAAATAAATGCTAAGGAAGTATGGAGATCTGTTTAACGAACAGGAGAAAAGAGTATTTAAGGGAATTGGAAATCCCAAAGCACCAACTGTCCTTAAACCTTTTAAAGGTGTGTTATACTTTAGATGGCTTTCATCATTTTTATAGGATGCATTCTTTTTCTTTATGTGGGGGTGGAGGGTCTGTTTGTTGCCTGGAACAGGTCATGTGCTGCAGGCTGGTCTTGGCTGCACCAGCACCCAGCCCTGCCGTGTCTTGGTGTGCTGGGAAGTGCACCACTTGAGACGCTGTATCATCAGTTACCTAAGTGTCAAACTTGGTGCTTCCATGGAAACCCACCCCTGTGCGATTCTCTTTGGCTACCCTATGGTGGGAGACATTTCAGATGTTCCTTGACATAAAAATAACTGCTTGACCAGACTGAAAAACAAAGCTCCCTTTTTGCTAATCTCTAGATGAAATCACAAACCAGAGTGCTCCTGTGGACAGATAACTTGTAGCTGTTCCTTTCTAAGCTTAGAGAAATAATATTGATGTAATCAGAAAAGGTGGCCAGGAAAGATCAGGTGTCCAAATAGATACCAATATTTTAGCATGTAGGACATAACATGGAGAGGATGAAGGGATACAGTGGTGATGAGTACTCTGTATGTGTACGTGTGTGGATTGCAGTTAGGAAAGCTGTGGTTTTCAGGGGCTTTGCCTCTGATGAAAAAAAATCAAATTATCTTTCACCTTTCTTGCTACTGAGCAACACGCTGCCATGACTTTTCTTTTGTACATAAGCTGTTTTTCTGTTTTGTTTTGCTGCATTTTTTTTTTCCTAAGCATGAGTCTGGGATCTATATAATTTTTTCACTGCTTTTTCCACTGGGGAAATAGCAGAGGGAAGGGTGAAAAAGCCTTATGTCTGAAAGTCAGTCTCTTTCCCTATAAAGCTTTACTCATATCCTTAGACCATCACACCTATAATTACACTACTGGTTTAAAGCTTGTGATAGATGAAGAGGGTATTAGCTAGAGAAAGAAAGCAAGCTTCCTGGCCCCATAATACAGGTAACTCCGTGTGATACTACTGTGTACAAACCTGACAGATGTGTTCCTTTACCAGATCCTGTTTCTTGGATGTTTAATGGTGCCAAACTTAAATATCCCATGCAACTCCCAAGGAGTGGCCAGCTAAATGTGGGAAGTGTAGTTCAAACAGTTCAAGATGGTGCTTGAAGGCAGACATTAAAAAGGACTTAAAAAAGACATCTTATAAAAGGCTGTGGGTCAGCCACAGAGATATCCATCTCAAAATTAAAAAAAAAAAAACCAACAAAACAAAACAGCTAGTGATTTCTGTTGCCCACTTGTATGTTTAATCAGCTTTCAGAAGAGTCTGGGTTTCTCCTTATGGGCCACTGTTGTAGGGACTGATGGAGCCTGTGCAACTCGTTCAGGATGTGCTGTACATGATAGTGATTAACAAGGATAAAACTGGTCCGTTAAGTCCTCTTCTCCTGGCTAGGTCTGCAGGAATGGAAGAGGAGAGCCCATGCATGCCCTGACTATATCCCTGGCAGGGGTGGTAGTCATATCTGACAGCAGCAGGTTTCAGAGGGGACAGGGGGAAAAGGGTGCACTCTACTGTGAATGTACCTTTCAATGCCACTGGGAAAAGCCAAATATGCAGGAAAATTTAAAGAAAAAGAAAAAGAGGGGGTTGTCAACCTCTATTTAGGCTTGAATTACTCTTTCTCACTAGTTGAGTTCTCTGCAGAGTCTCACTGGCCACACTCCAGCCTGTTGATTTGTGCCAGGCTGGCATTCTGGGTCTTTGTCCACAGTACTACATATCCTCCCAGAGGAGCTGGCTTTACAGGGCAGGAGTCATGTGCAGAGGGCAGGCAGCAAGCCCTGGTGCTGCTGGCACTTCCCTAGCCCACAGGCACAGGGAGAGGAGACAACGGAGAAAATGAGAGTAGGTGAGTCCGGATGTGGATGTGAAGGGTAGGAGAGGAGACCTCAGGAACCAAGTGGAGGTGAGGAGCAATAAGAGGGGACCAGTGGACAGAGAAGAGAGGAAATAAGAGACTTAAACAAGTTGAGGGAGCAAAGATTAAAGATAGTCAGAGGGAACTTAGAGAGGCAAAGACAACAATGGAGACCGAAGGAGCTATGATCATTTGCTTCCCCCTCTTTCTAGAACAAGCTGTCAAGCTCAAGGATTCAGTCTCAGCCCTCTTCTCTTGTGAAATCCACTCCTCAAATGTGTGCTTCACCCCTCCATCCTGCCCAACTCACTTGCTCTGCCTGCTGAGGTTTCCTCCATAGCTCTGGCGGCAAAGAGCATCAATGCATGTGTGGGTACCTGAAACCTCCTGATGGCTCAGACACAGCTCCACACAATGACATTTGAGGTGCTCTTTGTGTTATGGGTGTTTTTTTGATTTTTTTTTTTGGTGGGTTTTTTTTTGGTGATGTTAGAAGAATGTAAACGTCTACATGTCACACCCTGGGAAATGGAAGAAGGCAGGTTGCCTGGGCAACCCTTGCTTGGCCTCCTGGCATGAAGGCATGTTGATACAGCCTTTAATAACATGATTACGACCTATTTTTTCCACAGGGCATAGGATGGACGAATCAGTGCATAGGATGGACGATGATGTGGGAATGAAGCTGTTGTCTGTTCCTCATTTGTTGCAGAATTTGGAAGGTGTGTAGTGAATGAGGCAGAGGGTTGCAGGAGGAAAGAGGATAGTGTTGGGGAAATGAAGCTGAATACCTCCTTAAGAACTGTACTTGTTCTCTGTGTCTGACAGGGGTGTTTTTGTATGATGATGGAGATTTCCCTGGAATCAGGCCCTTTCAGTCCTGTTGCTAATCACAATTTCTTCAGTGTCTGTCTCTAGTGTGTAATTCTGGGTCTTGATTTGCAGAAAGCTGGGAGCATTTATATCAGCAACTACAAGGTGTATTGCTGCATGATTTTTCTCATTCTGGACAAAAATCCTCTGTATTGTATATCCCTACCTGCAAAACAGGAATAATCTTTACCCTTACTCTTACGAGGTGGTAGAGATTATTTCATTATTATTTATGAAATACATGTATATTCTGACAGCACTGTAGGATTGTCTCTGAGGAAATCTATGATTTTTTTGTACTCACTGGGAGGTTTGGATAATAAGGCTGAGAGGCACATGTTCAATGGGAAAGGTAGAAATGTCATTACTACCTGCTCATTTGGTGACTGCAGTGAGCATTCTGTGGGGAAAATTAATGTGTGATCATCTGAGTGCTATATCCTAATGCATATGAGCAATTAAAGATTGCAAAGACGCCCTTATGTCTGGCTTTTTCTTACTTTTTTGAATGTAATTAGAAATACAGGATTCAAATAAATTATTATAATCAGTCCTTAGCTGTTATAGCCATAGAGTTACACAGTTGTTCTCATGAAATGAGATTAATTTTAAATGCTGTTAGTATTTATGTGCAGTGCTTTTGTTAGAATGCCGTTCCGGTCTCCATATTGCTCTTGTACTGTAGTACATTTTAGCGTTCAGTTCAAATACACTATAGTTGTCTGTGTTCATTCTTTTTTTCCCTTCCCGTTTACTCCTGTCTGTGCCTATCTCAAATATCTCTTTCTCTTTTCCCATGCTTTGTGAGAAGGCAGCAGCCCCATTCCTTTGCTGAGATGAAGTTCTCCCCTCCTTTTATAAAGGGGCTTGCCAAAGCTTTAGTTTCTCAAATATTGATGACCAGAATTGTAAGAGAGTACCAGCATTTCATTGTCTGAATTACAAATACCTCGTGGCCTCAATAAGCTGGTGTCATGTAGCCACTTGTGTTCAAGTAGCACATAATCAAGTCCAACATAGCCTTTGCTTATGTTAGGGAAACATTTCCCCTTAATGACTGAGAATCTTACTTTGTATTATGCATTTTCACTTGCTTTTGCAACGCAAGGTCTCATTTCACCTAGTTCCCTCTAATGGCTCATTTCTGTGTTGTACTTACTTTTGGTAGTAAGGCAATGCCTCACTTTGTCACCAGCAGACCTTATTGGTACATTTCTAAGGTTTTTGACAGGCTCCGTCCTGAGGTTATTAAACAAGATTTTTTTTTTCTTTTGAGAATAAGACAAGTCACCCTGCCACTAATGTCCTACTATGTGCTTATGATTTCTGTTTTTCTATCCCTTATTGTCTACCATGAGTCAGCATTTTACCTGCCTCATAATTTCTGTATGTGACTTGATAGCCTTCAGTATTTCTTCATTATCAGGCTTTTCAAAAATGCAATGATTCAGACTGCCAGTCCTCCATGATAATAAATAAATAAGTAAATAAACACAAAGGGAGTTCATGGAGACAGAAGTCCTGGTAGGTATAAATAAACCTGTGTACCTGTAACTCAGTCTGCCTGAGAGTAGATTGCTTCAGCTCTATGTTTCAGACTGGTTTACCTCCTGCTGCAGAGCTGTCATGCTCTGTGGATTGATTGAGCCTCTGTGCTGGGCTTCCATAGCTCTTTTCATGTTCAAAGAGCTACTGACAGTATCATTTAGCAGCCAGAAAAATCCAGCAGAAGTACATCGCCACAGGACACTTGTCATTTTGGACATTCTTTTTTGGCTGCTTGATTTGGGGTTTTGTCTATTATGTTTATGCCAAGTGATGCAGAGATGTGTGGCTTCATTTGAAGGCTTTAAAGATACTTTCTAATTTTGAAAGCCATGCTCCTGAAACGCAGAGGATCCCATGAGAATTCAGTAGTGTAGGGAGCTAGAAGCTGGTAGGATTCCCCTTCCCACGAGACTTTCAAAGTCTCCCATTGAATAGTTTTAATTTCCACTGAGATATAAAGAGTTAGCTTGTTGACAGTTTTCCTACTGAGTCCTTGAATAGGAAGCCTAGAGTGTGTGTGGGCTCTGGAGTATGGGAAAACTTACTAGGGGCCTCTGAGTAAATGGATAAAAATATTTTTTATTTTCCGCGCTTTCCCTTATAGTAGATCAAAACTGAAACACTTAATGCAAATTCCTTCTGAACTGATGACTTCAGTGCAAAATCAAACAATAAGCTGGGGGTAGAGGGAGTTTTTCTGGTATTAGCCCTGACAGAGCAATAGTTTGCTTCCATGGGGCTCTAATAGGCTTCAGCTTGACTTGTCTTTTAATATCTGAATGTTGACATATGAAGTCCAGACAGCCTAAGAGCTGTTGCTCTCCTGATACTCATCACAGTCAGTCAGAGCAGGTCCTTTCATGTAAGCAGGCACCCTCCAAAGGCAGCAGGTCATTTACAGGTGACTTAGATTTGGAGTTTTAAAAATATCATAGAGAGATGGAGGTATAAATAGCTGGTAGAGCCAGAAGACTTTTAGTAAGAAGTCAGGCATTCTTTGGTGTAAAGTTTGAAGCCAGATCCTTTTTTTCTTCTTTTTTTTTCCCTTTTTCTTTTTTTTCCCCCTTTTTTTTCCTTCCCCTCCCCCTTTTTTTTTATTAATGCTTTTAATGCTGTTACATCTGGAATCTCCTTTGAGGAATTTTCTTATAATGATGCAAGGTATCCACAGAGTACGACCCCCATCAGAGCAGAAGCAAGGGTGTGCTGAAGAAAGACTGCTGCATAAGACAGGGTAGAGAAGGGGTGAAACTCCCCTCATGTGTGATCCTCACTGCAGCTGAAGCCGAGGAGGTGTTTGTCAGTTCACATAACCCACCAGCTAGCCATTACTTGGGGGTAGAACAGCAATTCAGTGCGAAACACTGACAGGAATCAGTTCAGAAGCACTGAGTGCCTGAGTGCACATGAGAAGGATGTGTGACAATAAACAAAGAATTTACAGATTATGGGAACCCCTAATGTATGAGCAAGAGTGGAGGGCAAAATAATATCTGGTTCCAAAGAGAAGTGTAACCAAGTTAAGTGTTGCTTCTCTTAATTTTTTTAAGTTGTGACTCAATAAAGCATATATTGACAATGAAATCTGCTTTCTCTTCTGTAAGAAAAAATTAAAATTACTCTGCAAAATGAAAAAAATTCAAGAAAATCATAAGATAGCCCTAACGCCATATCCTTCAGCTGACAGAGGATGAGATGTTTTAGTTTGATAGGCCAGATTGTCCGCATGAAATCTGTGCAATGTGTGTTGTTTGGGTAGTGATTTTCCTTGCTGCCTTTCAGATGAAATAGTAAACAGCCACCAACAGCCTTTCAAAACCCTTGTGCTTCTTCTAATGCTTGCTTTGACTATTTTGCTGTAGGTGGTTTAGCTTGGGCTCAATTATAGGCTTTACAACTGCGTTTTATCTAAGTGCTTCTGTTGTTCTGAATTATTTTATTCTCACTTACTCCTTTCCAGAATCTTGCTACAAAAATAATTTTGACCTTTTTCTTTGAGATTAAGTACCACCTTTCTTTATTGCCTTTTTTTTTTTTTTAATATAACCCCAATCCATTGCTGAGCCTGCTGAGGGCTTCTGTAATACAAATATTAATTTAACCAATTTCTTCTTTTGCTCCACCTCTGTTTTTCTGCTTTTGTGATCTTCATGCTGCATAGATTCTGGGGAGAAATAGCCATTATCAGGTAGTAAGGGAAGTAGTATGGCAATATTCTGCTAAAGTACAGTCATTAATACAAAATACCCTTTGCTGCTTTTGTCAGAAGCATTCCCAGTAGTAGCTCTAGAGGGAAGACCAGGAGTGACCTGTGAGCAGTGAATAACTCAAGTATTTGCATAGAAATAGTGTTTGTTTGATTTATTATTTTTATGATACACTTTTCAAATAACAGCAGGCAAACGTGTTTTTTCTTTAGTTTGTAAATTCAGGTGAATTCCCTCCCCATCCCCCTCTCGCCCCAGCTTGCTTTTATTTTCCTGTTTCTTGCAGCTCTTTAAGGAATTGCTATTCAGTGGAGTAAGGCAAAGGTCAAGGCAGGCCAGCGTGGACAAGTGAGGACACCCGTGCTAATTATGTATGCACGAAGGGAACGAGTGCACCGTTCAGAACAGGGCCGCACTGCTGCCTTTAAATAAAGTCAGTCTAGAAAGCAGAAAAAAAGCAGTCCTAGTCTGTAATCTTCGAGGGCATCGTTTTTGTGATGATTCTTTATAACTACAGCTTCTTCTGTTTTTATTGAACTTGTTGCTGTCTCACTGATCCAGTAGCTTGGAAACAGGCTGCTTTGGCATGCTTAGGTAGGTGTTCACGCTCTAAATTAATGATACTTGGGAAATAAAGTGTCCTTTGTTATTGTCCCATGCCAACAAGGGTGTCAGATGCAATATTTGCAAAACTTGTGTGTTCTTAACAGCACTGCATAGAAAAATTAGCTTGGAGCTGCCCAGCACTTTAAGAACATGGTGAGACTTTAGTTCTGAAATGCAAAGACACCACAGCTGCTGATACTCAAAGATTTTTCTTTAAGGAAATGTCTTAATGTTTAGGACATCCATCAGAACAATTTTAAATATTTGAAAAGGGAATGGGGTGAAAGAGGATAAGCTGACATAATGTCCTAGCCACTTTATTCTGAAACCTGCATTTGAACAAACCTCAAAAGAGTCCCATGAAAAATGAGTTTGAACTCCAGTCCTTTCCATGGCTTTTCAGGTGTGCATTGCACAAAGGCAGCAGGGCTTTTGCTGCGCAAGTGCAGTTCTACCTGTGGAGGGGTTTAAAAATTAAGAGAATCCTGAAGTTTTTCAAGAAATTTGATGTCATGCTTGCTGGGATCAAGCTCCATATTGCTCCCCTTTTACATATACATGTTTAACTGGGAGAAGGTTTGCAGTGTGAAGGAGTTCTTAGATAGTTCTTCCACCTCAAGAAGGTTAAGGGAAGCCTGAAAGAACAGGAAGAACTGTGGTGGATTTTGGACAGGCTGTTCAGCATTTTTATAGTTCCTATTAGTGTAATCAGTAGTGTCCTGCTCTCCAACACCTCCCTCAAAATATCTGTAGTTCACAAGCAAATCTTCTTGTTCTCCCCAGTGAAAGGATAATTTTGGTTTGGTTTGTTTCAGAGCTGGAAAAGGAAATCACCAGGAGACCGAAGAAAGTCTGCATTGTTAAAGTGGTGGGAACAAGGAACCTGTGGAAAAACATCGTAGTATTGTGTGTGAACTCGTAAGTCTGATCTCCTTCTGTTTGAATAGTTGTGTGGTCAGTCAACTGGAAGCAGCAATGGGAAATGATGAGGGAGCTCCTTTAATTCCTAGGGTGGGACCCTTCACTAATGTCTCTGATAAACGATCCTGGAAGAACACCAGCTGTTGCAGGGAACTGTTTTTACGGCAAACATGGAGGAGCTCATTGGTGGTTTCAGGCAGCAGAACCACATGTCTTCTCAGGTGCCATGCTGCAAGTGCATTGCTATCACCAGTGCTCTTGAGTGGCCCCGTGCTGGTACATGCTCATGCATGTAGACATCTACTGCTTGGCATCCTGGATGGGATTTTTGAAACCTTTAATGCCACAGGAGTAAAGGTTCGAGTTGTTTACATCTGATAGGGCTGTGTTGCAGAGGAAGATGTTGCTTGCTAATAAACACAAGCTTCCTCCCTTGTGTAACAGCTGTCCTTGATAGATCTTCAAAGGCAGATTGCAAAGCGCTTCAGCACTCTCAAATAGTGTATGGGACACGCAGAGAGAATGTTCTGTGGGAGACTGCACGATGTGATGCTTTTGTCCTAAGGCTTCCATTTGGACATGCTTATGAGGGCAAAACCAAGCATCAGCCTGAGGGTTTTGCAGGTTTACAGGCTCTGAGACTTTCTGTCCAGAATTGACCACCTTGTGAAGAGGAAATAGATGGGCTTGCAAATTCTGGGAGAGCACCAGCAGTGGATTTTCTAATTTTTCTATCTAGTAAAATGTCCATTTGTATTTCTTTCATGATTTTTTTTCAAATAGGAGGTGGGAAGGGAGAAGAGTGGAAATCCCCCAGGTTTAGAAGCATGTAGCTCTCCTATGTAATTTTCTTCATCTCTTCAGGGCACTACTCTGCAGCCCTCACTCCTGTTAATAGGCTTATGGATCAGTCATAACCCAGAGGGGGCAGAGGGGGCAAATAGTCACCCAGAAGCACCAAGACTTCACGGGTCAGTCTCCAGTACTATGGTTGCAGAACCAGCTCTAGTCTTATGAGTTTTGTGTCTCTCTTCCACCCACCAGTGAGTGATCCCCTCTGCTCTGAAACAGTGTTTTCCTATTAGGCTCAACTGGTACATTTAATAGCCTGTATTAACTGTATTTGTGAAAAATATTTACATGGAGAATTCTCCCCTTCTCCCTCACCCTCATTAATTTAGCATATTAGGAAATTTCCTGAACCGGAACTAGGCAGCCCAAAAAATAACTTCTGGCATTAGCACACAGAGGCTGTTTGCCATCCAAGCAGAGCATGAAGCAGATCTATGTCTGAGGAAAGAGATTCCATGTTTGTTTTTAGGGGGCGGAAAAGAAAATATTTAATTTTAATTCTGTTATTCCTGTTAGATGGGGTTGTGCTGAATTTTAGTATGTGGAGGAGCCTTTTGCAGGGGATAATAAGAAATCAAGGAAGATAGAGGTATTTAGTTTTAAAAGTAACAATTCTGAGCTGCTCACCAAGTTAAGAGAATAGAATAATTCTTGGGGAAGCAGGCTGGAAAGCAAAGTCCAAATGATACAGTAATTTAGTTTATAGATCATAGCCTAAATAACAACTTCTGCAGCTGTGTTGGCATGCATAGAAGAGAAAGAAGAAATGCTGGTTAACTCTGCCCTTTTATTACTATTGTTTGGCTGATTAATATTGCTCTTATGGGAGGATTCAGTTATAATCTAGCTATCCAAAGCAAATGTCATTTTTGTGTAACAGCAAGCACTTGTACTAGGTTTTTACCAGGGTGAAAGTGTTTGTTATTTAGGGTGGGGTTTTGTACCTAAAGCATTGATTAACAAGTTTGCAAGAGGAATTCCTCAGACCCTGGGCTGTCATGCACTCAGTAACTGCCAATTCCCCCAACTGTTTCTATGCTTATTTTGATACCAAATTTACACTGACAGAGCTTCAAATTCCTGACCTCCAGGAGGATAGAAGTGTAATAGTGTAATGTACCTGCCATTCATTTTTTTTTTTTTGGAGACCTGGATCTGTGCCTGCCCCTCTGTCAGGCACAATTAATTTATGACATGAGGTTTGTCTTGTCTAAGTGCCAGGGACAAGAGACTCTTCCTGGCAGAGGTATTTGAGCTGTGACGGGTGCAGTTGAGAGCATTGACCTTTCCCGTAGCACCTCTGCTGCAATTTTGCACCACATCAACAGTGATGCTGGGGCTTCTCATCTGTATACCTCCAGCCGTTTTTTTTTTCTTTTCTTTTTTTTTGGAGGGGCAGGATAGGACAGGAGAAAGAGAGAGGAGTGAAATGAGGTGGCAAGATGTTAATCACTGGCATCACGAAGGAACTTCCTTTTAAAAGGGGAGACACGTTGCTATGAAGGATGATGTAAATGTGTAGATTGGATTAGAGCTTATTGTTTCAGAATTGTAATAATCATTGTAGCACATAGGACTTCAAATACTCCTTTCTCAGGGGTTTTCAGTTTTAACAGGCTAACTTAGAAAGTGGGATGTAATGATTGTATTTAGTATGACCAAATGCTACAGGTCGGTGGGTCTTCCTGGAAGACACATCTGTATTGCACGGTGCTTTGCTGTCCAAGCACACAGGCTGCTTCATCACAGCAACGCTGGCTCTGTGGTTGTCAGCAGGTGCACTGGGAACAGCGAGATGTCGTTCTTGGGTTACAGGAGTTCTCAAATACAATGGGAAAACCAATCACACACTAAGAATCCTTGTAAAGTTGCTTGTACCCCGATCGTACCGTGAGCAGCAGGTATATGAATAAAGCCAGCAAGAGTTTGGTTGAATAGAGGTTTTTCTTTTGATCATTGCTTATTTTTATAGTAGAACCTAGAGGTCTGAGGTAAGTTTTTTTGCTCAAGGTATTCCTGCAGCAGAAGAAATTTTTTCTGCATTAATGTGTTCCTACGCTGAATTATGTTGTAGTGCACATCTGCCTTGTCAGCAATGATCTCCTCTTGCCCTATCCTGTTTCCCCTAGGCTGACTGGGTATGGCATACACCACTGTTTTGCAAAAAGCATGATGGGGCATGAAGCGAAGATGGCGATTACCCACAATTTCTATGCGGACTACTACACCATGGCTGGGATTGCGCTGGCATCCTGCCTGGCCATGTGCCCAGTGGTTGGGTTTCTGGGGAGGAGAGGAGGACTCCTGCTTTTCATGATACTTACAGCTCTGGCATCACTTCTGCAGCTGGGCCTTCTCAATTGTAAGTTGGAGATGAGAGCTTTCCAGGACAACACGAGTTTGACATGCAAATAAGGGACCTGGAACTATTAGCGTTTCCTTTGCCTTTCCCAGATTTGTCATGTCATACATCTGCATAGTTTAAGAAGCTGAATTTGTTTGAAGGTTTCCCCAAACACCTATTGTCTTAGGCTCATGAACAAAAGGCATTGTGTTCTGGATGATTCCCCTGGTGAAGCTCATTGGGCATTGGTGCTTCATTAGGGTTGTCACTTAAAAGCAAACAAGGAAATAAAAAACATTTTTTATTTTATCTTAGTGAAATAGCTTCCAGGGAAAGAGCTGGGTAGGGATTGGGAAGGGAGAACTTCCCCAGTTGAGTCTGCTTCTTAAATGGCTGCTAAACCAAACAGAAGTTAGACCAGTAGGTATATGTCCTCTGCCTATTCTGAGCATCTTTCTATGAGTAAGTAATATACAGGTATCATGGAAATTATGCCACTGAAAGACCCTAATTTTAACACAGTGTGTATGTATGGTCCATGTGAATGTATACTCATAATTTTGAGAGGTGACACAGCTTTTCAGATGGGTTGTTTCTCTCAAAAGCAAGAGTGTCTCACCTCTTCCTTTGCAGGCGGTAACCTTTGTCTGGCCCTGAGCTGCTTCAGCTATTAAAACTGCTATAGAAATATTCCCTTTCCTTTTTGATTTTATTTTCTTGTCTTCATTTATTGTTGGTTGAGAAGATTGAACTTGATGAATCAGAGAGAAGGTGCTTTGTCACTCTCACAGCCGCCAAACATTAGACCCCTGTCCCATGAAACCCCACCCCAAGGAAGGGGGAAGAGGTTGAGACATGCTTTGGACAAACTGGTTGTGAGACAGACACCAGAACACTGGTTATTGCTGTTTTTCATTTCTAAGTTTAGAAATAATTGAGGGCTTTAATTAGAGCTTTTTGCATTGAGAATGGAAAGTTTTCACATTCCCGCATACTGAAGGCAGCTCCAAGCTAGCAAGAATTGCCCATATTTACAGACTGTGTTTCCTGAAGGCATTTACTAAGTTAACCTTTAGCAAACACACTATTTGTGGAAGTGTAGGAGGGAAACAGGGCACCTCTTTCATGACATGGATGAAACTCCAGCATCGTGTGTGTTTGCTCCCAGCTTGGCACAGATGTTTGCATTCCCCTTGAGCAGATATTTACCATGTGCAGCAATCCCAGCTGAAAGTGGGAGAAGTCCCCTGGCCCCACCTCATCACCAGTCTGTTGATGGACTGTGACTGCTCACATGCAGGTTCACACTGTTCATGTGTGCAACCTCCCAAAACTCCAAGTTCTTCTGGTGGTGTCCATCAGGGTCTCTCTGCACTAAATTCATCCCATTTTATTTTTTTTTTTTAAGGATGTCAGATGTTTGTTTGAGGCTGTTGAGGTAATAAGCATGCAGTTGCTTAGTTGAGAGAAAGTATGTCAAAGCTGTTAATCTGCTCTAGAGCCATGAAAATCTGGTTGCAGTTTTTCAACAAAAAAAATTAGTGAGGGAGGTGGAGAGGAACACCCTGTAGGAATCATTACAATTTTTTTCATAGTGGGTTTAGGTGTTTTTGTGAGCCAAGTTGCTAAAACTAAGAGCAGGCACGGGCTCTAGGTGTGTTGTGCTACACTGGTACTCTCAGCACGGTGCACCTGTCAGCCTTCCCCACTCTACCCTCACCCCCTCATTTGTGAGAAGAGGAAGGAAAGGCAGCCTTGAACTTAAGAGCAGCTCAAGTCCCCCCACTCTAGATCATACCCCCTTCTTCCTCAGAAGAGCTAGACAGTGTTTGGAGAGAAGCAGTGACCCTCCTGCCACAGCATCCTGTGTGTTTTAGCTTAGCATAATTTGGGTGTAATTGGCAAATTAAAATCAGAATTTGAGAACAGTGAGAGAGAGAGATATTCTTTGCCAGCCACAAACCTGCAGCAGACCTTGGGGCTTGCCATGCTTGCCCCTTCCTCTGAACTCTGGGGTGTCACCTGGGAAGTCACAGAAGCCCAGAGGGAGATGAGCAGCAGCGCTATGGCCAGCTTGTGCTGCTGCCCTTCCCCTTGCTGCCCAGTACTGCTGTGCACTCCTGTGTGGTTAGGACACGTGGCAGTTGTGGCTAGGTGACACATGGACCATCCGCTCGGGGTTTTGGTGAAGAATAGGTCTCCCACCAGCCTGATGGTTCTGATGCCCAGACTTTTTAATCTCTAAAGCTTCTGTTGGCCATTCCTTTGGGGCTGCAGCAGGAGGGCATTTTTTCTTCTCCCCCTTCATTAAGAGGGAGAAAACACAAAGAGGCCTTTATGTTAATCCCAGTGGTAATTCTGGGGCTCTTAAATATGCTTTACTGCTGGTTTGTTATCACTGTCTCATTAGCATGCTGTCCTCCAGCTGAAATGTGCCTGGAAACAACATGTCCTGTCTTGTGGCCAGGGAAAGATGTGCCAGCTGTGGCATGGGAAAGAATTGTGGGAGGGGCTAGGGTGGCATGTGGGATTTACCATTTTTTTTCTTTTCCTTTGGATAAATATATATGTAAAAACAGTATGTTCTTGTTTTTTCTCCTTTTCTCTCTTATTTTTATCTTACTCTGACTTCTGTGGTCTTGGATCCAGTGATCGGAAAATACAGTCAACTTCCAGACTCAGGTATGGTTTACAGACAAATCTGCATTATGCTGGAAACTACATCTACCAGCAGCAGGTAGATCCGAAAGGCCTGAGTCAAAGCACCCAGAGCAGAGCTACTGCCACAGAGAGTTGCAGGGGGAAAGCCCACTTCTACGCAGTGCCTTGAGACCCCACTCATAGGCAGGTCTGCTCATTTATATGCAGTCTCTTGGTGTTGCATCCCCTCCACATAGTCTGTCTTGCCTCTGCATGTCAAGAGAGGGTGCAGAGGTTTATTTTCAGATACATGGTAAGACTTTCTCAGAAAATCTCCTTCGGAGAAGCAACGTTCCCAGTTCAGGAATCTCAGTTCTTTTTTTTTCCAGAAAGATCTGAGATGACAAAGTCACTTCTCATAAGGGGACTTAAACACCTTCAAAAATACTTTCCCAGACACCTTATACCAGGCTGAAGTACTGTAATAGCAATGCAATGACAGGCTACAGGGGAACAAAATTTACCCTTCTGTATTAGATTTGACAGACCTGTCCTTGCCCAGCTTTTCCAAGGTCTGTTCTGCTGAGCAGTTATGACTCCCTGAGGGATAAGTGGTATAGCCTCACCCGCTATGCTAGAGCGGCCAGGGAGCCTCAGAGACCCATATTTTGCAAGTTGCTATGCTCACAGCCTTATCTGCTGGTGGTATTTGCTCTCTCTCCCAAACTTGGGGTGCACTGCAGAAAGGGCTTAGCCCTGAGCAGGCTGGAACATGTTTTGGAAGATGTAACCGAAGAGCTCCCAAACACCTTTTGCTCTCCTGACAGCCGATATATTCAGCAAGAGCAAAACCAGCTGTTAATTTTCATTGGATCCGACCCAAAGACTGCACCTGCTTGGGATTACATGTTGATGAACAGTTCTTTCTTCAGGCAGGTCTTGGGATTTGGCTGTAGAAAGGTGGGAGAGCGTTGGCTGCAAAGCTCCAGTCCTTTCCCCAGTGCTCCTTTCTGGCACAATGTGTTCCCCTTGTATGATGCAATAGTCTCTGCAAGTGACATGACCTCCTCTCTGGTCAGGACAGACCACATGAGCTTGTACAACTCTGGATCAGATATCCTGCCCCTGCCCACAGAAGGTGGTGAGCAGGGATCAAGGGTGAGATGTACTATCATCGTGACCAGAAGACAGTTTCCTTTAGCTTTGTTTAGATTTACTGGGGTTTCTCCCTGTGCTTGATAGACACTGTTCACCCCGGAAGCCTTGCTGCCATCCAGCCATGAAATGATTGAGCAAACAGCCTTGACTTCAGGGAGTGCTTTACCGTCCTTGGCATCAGCTGTTCTCATCCAGAGTTGTTGGGCAAGGCTGTAAAGCTGGGAGTTACGACAGTTTGCAGACTGATCAAATGCAGGGGCTTAGCACAGAGATGGGAGCACTTTTATTTCTTTCCCCTCTTGCCCTGCAATGGGAGGGAAGCAGCTGGTGCCTAAAAGACTGCCCAAAGATGTGTTTTTTCTTGGGTTTTACCTTTTTTGTGGTGGCCGAGCATAAAAAATTTGGAGATTGCTGCCATTTTTGGCATGACATTATGATTTTTTTCATGTATGTTCATGTCTCAGGTGCTTGGGGAATGGATGCTATAAATACCAGTTTTAAATTAGTATTACAAAATAACTCATATTCTTGTCTAAGGAGATGAGTAACATAAACCATAAACCTCTTATTTTTTTTCCTTGGAAGTTTGGCCTCATTCTTACTTTTTATGAACACACTTGTCTTGTCAGGTATGAGTGACAGCATCAAAGACAAATTCTCTGTTGCATTTTCCATCGTGGGTATGTTTTCTTCGCATGCTGTTGGAAGCCTCAGCGTGTTCTTCTGTGCTGAAATCACACCCACGGTAATCAGGTAAGACATTGGCCCTGAGCTCAAAAGATGGGGACAGAATTATCCTCATTAAACTGTAAGGGCCTGTGTAACTTAACATATTGTATGGGAGGGGAAACGCCATGTAAATGGAGACCTCAGCAATTTTGGAGCTGCTCTTTAAGGTCACTGCAGTCAGTCTGCCTGAGTAAATGTGTGTCTGTGTACAGAGAGGCTTCATTTCCCATGGCTCCACCTTGTGTCCCATCATGGTGATGTTCAACGGGCGAGACAGACATGAATTGCAGTGTGTTAGGGTCTTAAATACTCAGCTGAACCAGACTGTGTGGTTGAATGTTGTTATTGCTTCACTTACTCTACGGGATTTATATAAGCAGCGACCGGGTGAGTTTAAATCGTGATGTTAAAGGAGAAATTCCATGAGTGTGCAGAGGAGGACATGGTAGCCAGCAATCCCTGTCCCCATAGAACAGGTTAACCAGGCCACCTGTAGGGGTGCTTCCGTGGAAGGCAGGTGTTGAAATATACGGTGTTAAATGCTTTTGATGTGTAAAGGTGCTCTGCAAGCCTTCCTCTCCTACAGCAGCACCCCTGTTAGTGGTCTGCCTTTACTGAAGGTAAAGTCACCTTTCTCTTTGCACACAGATCTATCTTTGCAGAGACTCAAAATTTTTCTAAAGAGGAGTGCTTTCATCCTGGGAAATAGTAGAAATCAGACAGATGATCTTTGTTGGAGAATTTCCCATAACATGTCTTTGCAGAGTCAGGGGTTTGTACCATTTTATATATTTGCTGTTATCTTTCACAAAGGTTGTGCTTTTGTGTTCTGGATTATGCTTTTAGCAATGCCACAGCAGTTCAGGAGTCCTCCCTGACTCCATTGAATTTCCCAGAAATGTAGGTCATATGTGTGGGAGGGAGAGAGAGTGGAGGAAAGAGCATACTCTTTTTTTTTCCCCTCCAAATTACATGCCTTTTGCACTTTGCAAAAGTGTTACTGCAGAACTGTTAGCTGAGTAGCTAGAGTCTCCTTGATCCATGGCCTTTTCTTCCAAGCTATCTCAGTTTGCGAATGTATTTTACAGATAACATTATTTCCACAGGGAAAGGCAGTGTGAGCAGTGAGATTATACAGCAACCCAAAACACTAACAGCTATTTATTTATGTGTGTGTCAGTCAATTTGGTGGTTTTATGCCTCTTTAATTTTCTTCTTGTCTCTGTTTGAAAGAAACATAGATAAGGAATTGACTATGTCAGACAGAAGAGAATCTGCTAAGTAGGATCAGATGTGCAGTGTGAACTTAGCAAGATTTTTTTCCTTAAGTCACTTATGTTGCTCCAGGGAAGGGGAAAAAGTCCTGGCTGGGAGCTGATATTCTGCTTCCCCCACTCTGCTGGGTGATACCAGATGAGTGACAATAGCTGGATATGCCTCAGGGTCCCTGTTTATTTATAGGGATGATGACACTGCAGTGCTTTGCGGTCCTACCACCGCAATAAGATCCACTTGCGGCTGTAATTAGGAGATGTAGCTCAGGATGGTGCATAAACCTGTCTCGGGCAGAGGTGTGATTAAGCTGCCTTCTGTCTTGCATTTTGGTGGGATCTTGCTGCTCCCTCGTAACCTGCTCTCCAAAATACTGCCTTGGTGTTGGAACTAGATGATCTTTAAGGTTCCTTCCAATCCAAACCATTCTATGATACTAATATGCTTTTGGTTGAATCTCAAGGAACCTTAAGGAAAAGGGAGGCAAAGAGAACACTGGGGTTGTCTCAAGGGTTTCCCTAATCAAATTCTTTACCTGTAATCTCCCACCCCTGAGGGTGGAAAACAGCACTGTCATTATCTGAGGTAGTGGTGGCATAATAGCAACCTCATAGTGCCCATTCATATCTGCTGCTGTGGTGTTGACATGAACAGTTACAGTAGTAGAGGAGGAAAACAGCCATATTCATCACCAAGAGGTGCCACCTGCTCCAGCAACATGGTTTCATGCTGTCATGTGGCAAGGGGTCCTTCATACCCTTGCACTGCATCCTGGTCTCCTGGCAGTAGGCAGGAGGGCTTCACCAGGAGCTGCCCTTCTTTGTACCAGGGGCTACAGTATGGAGCTCCATCCAGATGCTGAATTAAAGCACCGAGTGGCACTGATAATTCATCTAATAATCTTAACACCACTGCAGTCTGCACAGCTACTAAGTAGAAATAGGCTGAGGAAAACACAGTGTCCCCTCTCCTCATCCTCCACATGCTCAGTTACTATCAAGTTGAAGAGAGATCTGTTTCTTTCTGTCAATGTCCTTCTTTTGTATTCACTTTGCTAAAGAAATGAAGAGTGGGCAGTGATGGCCGAATCAGGAGTTTTACCCATCAATAGTTGCCTGAAATCAAATTTCCAGTTGTTAAAGAAACTTTCCTGTCTGACCATCCAGCAGTCACTCAGCAGTCACACTTGCACAAAGGGTCCACGCCACTGCACAGCCTCTTGCCTTGGGATCCTGCCCCTAGAGCTCAATCTGCAGCTCACACAGCACCTCACACACCCAGCTACCTGCACTGAGCGTATTCCTCAACACAGTGGGGTGCCGGGCTGTTTACTGGCACCTGAACCTGGCCTGGCTTCTTGAAGGTGGGGCCTTACTCCATGAGGCCAAGGACATCCTGATGTATTACAGAAGCTCTGGCCTACGACTGAGCGCACAAAAAGTCACTTATGTATGGGCAGGGAAAAACTGTGGAGGTTTTCAGGGACTGACTTCAAGAAGTGGCCAAGCTGACTCAGCAAAGCCCAGAAAACCTGGTCCGATTTCAGAGTTGGCCTTGCTTTGTGCAGGAGGCTGGAGCAGATGCTCTCCCAAAGTCTTCTTTAGCCTGAGCAGCTCTCTGGCTCTTTTGTACTCTGAGCCGTGCCATGTGTTAACGCATTTGCTCAATGCAGACAAATGGCCATCTGAAGACAGGATTAATATTTCTCTGCTCTCCTGAGGAGTGCTGGGAAGGGCAAAGCCCTTTCCTTAGAATGTCAGTGAGGATGTTTTGCTGCTCCCTGAAAAAATACTGCAGTAACAAGCAAGGAACTTTCCCCCTCCATGAACAAGCAGGACCTTTCTGAGGACAAAATTTTGGACCAAGGTCCCTTTGCAATTTGCCCTTGTCAGGACCATAAACTTCATGCTGAGGTTTATGTACAAACCATCCCTCCCTTCTGCCAGTGGGTGAGCAGAGGTTGAAGAAGCGGTTCTGGTCGATCATCCATGGAGCCGTGCCATGGGAAAGCCCCCCACAGCAGCCACTGGCAGGCAGAGGTGTGAGGGGGGAAGCTGGGGCTCACTGTGGATACCAGGAGCCCTCACACTCCCTCTGCAGGCTCCACTTTGAGAGTGTTTGAAGTACAGTAGCTGGCCCCTGCCATGGAAGACCTCAAGCTGAGGAGGAGTAATGTCCCAAAACACTCAGAATGTTTTTGGTTTCCACCTGCTGCCCATGTCACCTGCAAAACCAGTGTGAATTATGACGGTGCTGCCTCTCCTGTCTTGTAGCTGTTTTCTTGATGTGCATAGAAAGAACAAAAAATTCCTGACAGTATTTTCAGTTTTCTCTCTTTTTTTCCTTCACATTTTCATGCTTGCAATGTAGTCAAACCTTAAAGAAACCCCTTCTAAGACACGTACCAAAATGTACTTTCAAGCCGCCTTCCGCCAGGTTTTGATGGCACTGGATAAAGTAAAGCCTGCTGTAATTAATGACATCATATGGAAAAACATTTCCCCCCCCCAAATCTGAAGCCACTTGACCCATAAATGACAGAGCCGTCTTTGTTGTTGCCTTTTTCCATTTTCTTTCAGTTTGCTTGATGTCCTTCTACAGCAGCTTTTAAAACTCACCTCAGGTCCTTCTCAGGAGGGCTGAGATACAATTCAGCTGTAGCAAACACTGATGTAAATGAGCTGGGCTTTTGTATCCTGAGAACCAGCTCGGAGTGAGATTTGCCATGCATTTGGAACTGGTTGTGTCGGTTACTCATGTGAGTGTATAAATGAAGTTGCAGGGAGGCCAGTTGCACAATAGTCGCATTCAGCTGGGTTTCTAAATTGCCATTGGAAAGCTGGCAAGTTTTTAATAAGGGCTTTTGGCAGTATTTGGGGAAGTTGCTGTTGTCTGTGAAAGATGCTCTGCTGAGTCTGGAGAACTGGAACATACATGCGTGAATTTTTGACCCAGTCGATGTCCCAAAAGTGTCTTTTGAAACCTATGCTTGCTGCCCTTCAGCTGTCAAGTAAGCAGCAGTGGATTTTGGAAAGGATTGCGTGAAGATTAGCTTTAACACGGTGGCTGGCTGAGTGGATTTGGCATTTGTAGGTTTATAATACTGTGATTTCTAGTATGGTTACATCAATGACACTGATTTTTTTCCCACGTATTTGACATAAAGCAGTCCATTTGCCTTTTGCAGTCATCTGCTATAAGGGCCAGTTATTGTTAATAATTACAGCTCTGCATTGGGCCAGAAACTGAAGCATCTGAGCTTCAGAGGGTTTGGGAGTAGATAGCATATCCCAGAGGAACTGCAGGAAACATACTGCCTGCTTCTTAAGGAAGCAGGGTGCCAGTGATGAAGCTCACAGGGAAACCTCCCTCTGCAGGCAGCAGGGTCTTTGGAAAGTGAAGGACAAGCTTCCAGTCTCACAGGCTTTGTTAGAATGAATCACTTAAGGGTGACACTCTGCTGGCTGGAGACCTCAGTTGTGCCACAGCAGGAGGAGGGAATGGCCTGCCCCACAGAAACATCTGCAGTGCTGCTTTTGTGTGGGGTCATCCAACAGAAACAGACCCAGGAGCATGAGCTGTGCCTCAACATAAGGTGTGCCAGTTCTGTCCACACCAGGGCCTGGAGAGAGATGCTGATGAGCAAGATGAGGAATTGCAAGAGAGGTTGCTTGCATCAGGAGAGAACACTGAATTGGGCTTGCACAAGCAGCTTCTGTGCTTGTAACTGGAGGACAATGAGTCTATTTTCACACTTTTTTTTTGAAAACTATGTATTTTATTACAACATCAATGTGTTGAAAAGTTCCAGCCCCAACATGGTTTTGTGTAGAAAATATTTCAGCACTCAAGTGTTTGGTATAAAAGATCGAGGTAGTGGCTTTTTAAGTCTGATCTCCTGCCTCCACTGCTGAATGATGCCAGGTACCTTAGAGGCAGCCAAAATTGACTTCTGCACCTACTGCTTCTTGGTGTGCCTTGTCTAAGTGGAGAGAAGGCTGGCATGCTAAGCAAAATGTGGTTTTCCCTGACTAAATGTGGGAATACTTGGAGTTGAGAATACTTTAGAGGGCTGTCTACACACTCAGATGATAAAGCTCCTCCTCTTCTTATATGGGGGCAGTTAAATGGCTATGAAATGATACTTATTTCCCCACACTGAGGCAAATAAGCAGCAATTATCTACAACAGCAAAGCAACTCCCTGCTGGAGTGACTGTGCAGTGTGAAAGCTCGGAACAAACCAGGTTTGCCTTCAAGACTTTGGATGCCCTGGGTGCATGCCAGACAGAGGGTTAGTCTGGAGGACCTGTCGGGTCTGTGGGCTCCCCACCCCAGTGCCAGTGGGGCTAGGCTCTCATCTCTGCCTATGTTTGCAGGGGAGGCGGATTGGGGCTGGTCCTGGCCAGTGCGGGTTTTGGCCGCCTGACCGCCCCCATCATGGAGCTCCACAACCAGAAAGGCTACTTCCTCCACCATGTCATCTTCGCCTGCTGCACTCTCATCTGCATCATCTGCATCCTACTGCTGCCAGAGAGCAAGAACCAGAACCTGCCCGAGAACATCCCAGATGGGGAACATTACACCCGGCAGCCCCTCCTGCCACACAAGAAGGGGGAGCAGCCCCTGCTCCTGACAAACTCTGAACTCAAGGATTACTCTGGCCTCCATGACTCAGCAGCTGTGAGTGACGGGATCTCGGAGAACACCACTGCCAACGGGATGAAGTCAATGTAACTGGGTGGACTTTTTTTTTCCGTTTCTTTTTTATTATTATTTTATTTTTCCCTTCTATTTCTTCTCTTTCTTTTGTATTTTATTTTATGCTGTTGTGCGGGAGGAGTAGCACTTTGGGCAAAGGTGTTTTGCACAGATTTTGCAAACCAGTGGTGGAGCAGACACAAACTTGGAGGAATTCAACTCTGCTACTAAAGCAAATTTTGGCATCTTCAACTGTTGTGCAGATTGCTCTTGAAAAAATTTTGGGGGAAAAGACTCATTTGAAAAAAGACCTGGCTGGCAGTAGCCCTTCAGAACTCTTTTTTTCCTGCCATTAAATATGTATATTTATTTTGATTTATTCTCAAGAAGCACTTTATTTCCTTTTCCTTTCATAGATCACAAAAATGAAGCCATCTTATTATAAGAGGTGCAGCCATTCCAAGAAAGAAACCATGGGGGGAGGGGAGTGTTGTTTTCTGTTTTGTTTTCGTGTTTCTTTAAAGGAAAGAGGGATCAACCACAAAGTTGAATTGACTTAAATTTAGACTTGTGCAACATTCTTCTGCCTGTCTAGAAAGTCCAAGTGTCCAGGTTGCCTGCTGCGTTTGTATACACAAAAAAAAAAAAAAAAAAGGAAGACAAAAACAAAGCAAAACCTGTTGTGACTCAAACTCTGACTGCGTTTTAGGCAGCTTATGTTTGTCTTTATAGCCCATGTGCACTTAAAAGTTACTTTCTAAATTAGTCCTTTTTTTTTTTTTTCACCAAATGCATTGAAGAAAATCCTACCCAAACAAGCTGATTTTTCAATGTGAATCAGCTTGCTGCTTTTTAAGAGTATATTAGTCTATTTTAGGTGGTTCCCAGTGGTCTTTAATAGTAACATAGATGATGCAAATAATTTGACTAATGATGCAAAAATTAGTTTTGCTGAGAATGGCTTTAATTATCAGGAGGCCCAGGATTTCTGACTTCTCCAGGAGAAGAGCATGAACCAGCAGGGATAAACAGTAAGGAGCATGGGCTACAATCTAATACTTTTATTCCAAAAGGCAGCACAGCTAGGATTTCTGCTCCTGGGAAATGAGTGTCCTGGCATTGTGTTACCTGTTTTTAGAACCAGGGTTTGGGTTTTCAATTTAAGCGGACAAACTGCTTAAATGACTGTTGGAAATGAATTAATTGATAGCCTGTGAATAATGTCTTACTGAGCTGTCTTGGGCCCTTAACAGATGGTTTTGGGTTCTGACCCAAGAATATACAGTGAACTCACCCAGATTTCCTCCTTCCCCAACTGCTCTTATAAGATTTTAGATCATGAAAAAAGTTTACTTAAATTAGATCAGTGCTACACAAAGTGAACATCCAGTTTACCTCCTACTGTGCAGATGGCACTTTGACGGTGGCCACTTGACTTCTCCAGCCCCCAAATCAACTACTTCCTTTGGCCATCGGCTTTTGGTTCTCACACAAGAGAATATTGTGAGGACCTAGTTCAATGCAAGGACTCTGTAAACAAACAGCTTTCTTGCATTGTAGTTAACCTCCCCACTCTCCCTCCCTCTTCTCCTTTCTCACTCAGGCCATCCATTTGTGATTGCTCGGTAGTGCAGACGTTCAAACAGAGCAGCAGGATGTCAATGTTGTATTGAGTGTCCGTATGATTGCCACTTTGTTTGATGTACATCTTGCGTTCATATGCATGGAAAGTGCTCATTTGCACTTTCCTCCTTTCCCTTCCCTTCCCCTTCCTCCTTTGCTGTATATATTGTCGATTAACTACTGTACCTAACAATTTCCATCCTCCATTAGGCTGCCAATGTCCTCTTACAGTCCCCAATAAATCAGAGATATGTGCTCCCCAGCGGGCAATGCAGTAAGTAGCACAGCCTCAGATGCTGATGAATGCAAGGGGATAGGCAGACCTGCAGAACCGACAGAGGTGGTTGTGTTCAGAATAACAATGTTGTCCTAAAGCTGCTAATTTTTACAGAGGATGTGGACATTGGGTTCTTCTTGAGCCTGGTAAGAAACACTGGACCAGTTGATGGTAGTTTTGCCCAAAGGTACACTACTTGGGGTTTTTTTCACCTTTGCTAGACTTGCTGTGACAGCAAGAGCCCAATCTTCCCTACACTAAAGTTTTATTTTCAGACTTGAGTACGGCTGCTTCTTTTTGTTCTGTGCCGAGACCTTTGCAGTCTGTTCACCCAGGAACCCAGCCCTTCCCCACTCATGCAGTATTCACGTGCCAAATTTGTGCAATACCTTTTGCCTTTGATGCGAGATGCTTATTGCAAGCCACACACATTCAGGGAGGAAAAAATGGGTTCACAACAAAAAATTGAAGAAGCAAAACAAATCTTAAGGGAAGAGAAAAAGGGCCTGAATGCGGAGAAGGTGTGAGCACAGAGGCAGAAAGCAGCTGCCATCCATCCTGCCGTGGAGCCAGCAGCTCCTTCGTTTGTGGTCTTGTGTGCCTGTATGCTCGAGCTGTGGTACAGCTTTTGTAGACCATCCACAAGCCTTATAAAACTGGCTGCTTCCAGCACTGTCAGCAGTCCTGGTGTGCTCACCGCTGTTGTCCACAGCACTTTATCGTTTCCTATTCTGGTGGTTGCTCTCCCAGGACAGACAGGCACAGGGAAAAGAATAATTGTTTAAACATAGCAACATTTATATAGAAAAAAAACTAGGTGACAGGAATGTGCAGCAATTTATTTAAAAAAAAATCTTATGAAATTGATTTGATTTGCTGGTTTTTTGGTTTTTTGCTTGAAACCAGGTAGTCGGTACTGATCTTCTGCAACAAAGTTGGTTTGGCCCTCTGCCTCTGTCACGACAATAAAACAAAAACTAATTTCCTGCCATGGCAGCTCCAGTTTTGCTCCTTTTCCTGAAAACACGAACACTTCTGCGATGATTATTTTCTTTCACACATGCTCACAGAGTTGGAAGGCTTTCACTAAACATGTCTTTTGTGGAGGAGTCGAGTACCAGGCAGTGCAGCAGGGCAGAAAGGAAGCATGGAATGCTTGCCCTGCTTTTCCTAGTCCTGCAGCAGGACAGGGCTCTTTGCTGGGGTCCCAGCTAGCTGCTCCATTTGCTCCTTGGCTGCATCCCCCCCCACCAGCCATCACCAAGACAGGCTTTTCTCAGGCGGCTCTTTCTGGCCACCATAACAGGGGAAGCAGTCCAAGCTGTCTTCTCCATTTTGGCCTTTTTCTGTGAACCTTCAGTAACCTCTGAGCCCATCAGTAGATTTTTCTTTGGGTTTACCATTTAAGGGCTTTCTTCCATCTTCGTAAGTTTAAACAAAAATGTGAAGTGACATTATGCTTGATCTTGGGGGGTTTGTCCCCTTTTAAGGTTTCAGTACTGCTTTTGTTGCCAGACACACTGCAAATGGATTACAACAGTTGCCTGTTTGCAAGTGTTCTGTGGCCACTCTGAAAGGGGGTTGTGTGATTTACTTTTTGGTTTCATTGAGCAGGCTTTTTTTGTTGTTGTTCTTTTTAATGGAAGTATTTTACTTAACTGTTGCCACTTCCTGGAGCCAAACACTTTATTGGTCACCAAATTGGAAGCAGAAGTGCCATTAACTGAACTCTGTGAATGTCAAGTCAAGTTGCGCCTGTAGCTGGCACATAAGACAACACTATTAAGTGGGGGGATGATCTCCCTCACTGTAACTTTTTTTAAATTATTTTATTTTTTAAGAAAAGAAAATTACAAACCTCATTTTAAATGTATTGTGTAAAATGTTTCAGGAAAGGAGTATGGTGTGTTTTGTCTAGTGGGTGAGATCTCCCTCCCCATTTCAGTTTCTAATGAAGTTTTAAAGAATCGTGTTACTGTATGTTTTGATCATGAATAGTCTGGTGGTGCTTCCTCATAGCACAAGCTTAAATCAAGTACTGAAAACAGTCTTACAAGCTAAATGTCTGCATGATGTTACATCTGTTGTACCTACTGAGAAGAACTTTGTATGTAAATGTACAGAATAAAATGACATTGTCCCATCAGTTTGCTCTCCTTGGTCTGGCTCCCTCACAGTGACTTCTGAAACACCCAGCAGCAGCTGATGCCTCAGCGAACAGTCCTACCCTCCTTTAAAAACAGAATGAGCTGTTTGTAAATCAGACTAATTAATCCAGCAAATTGATTTACAACTAATTATCAGTGTAGTCCATTACAGAAGAGTAGTTGACTGTTTCCTGGGTGGTGTAAATTAAAAAGAAAATACCCTCCAACAGTTGCTTTTTGCGATTCTGATCGTGAACTGTGGCCAAAGACCGACAGCTGTTCCCACCAGGTGAGGAGGAGCTTTCTGCGCCCACATCAAATACAACATGTTGAAGCCACTCTCTGTTCAAACCCTTTTGGACAAGAGACTCAGTAGCAGTTGTGCCTCCTACAACAGTGACCTCTTGGTTACAGTTTTTAATTGCTGATTATGGCACCACAGCAAGGTAAATTCATCAGTTTTCTGCAGAGGGTTAAGATAGTTGTCTAGAAGCAGCACTAGTAAATTTTGTTTGTATCAAAAGCTTATGTTTGAGTCAGGGCTCAACTTGCAATGGAAAAAAATAACCTGGATTGTTAACTCCTAGCTGCCCTCTCATGAAATAAAACAGCAGCAGTATACTTTGCAGTGGTGGTCACGGTAGTGGACAGCTCTGATTTTTCTAATGTATATGCTCAATTTACACATGGTATGCTCTTCTAGCAGCCTGACAGATTTATCTATTGCCCTAGAATTCAAGCTGTGCTTTTTCCTTCTACATAGTCCTCAGGGATGTACAGATAACACTTTGTGAAACTCTTCTAGTGTTCTTAATGCCCAAGGAACAGAAGGAAATCCAGTGTTTAGCATTAGTACTACAACCAACAGGGGCTAAAAGGAGAAAAGTAACACGTCACAGCTTTACAATACAAAAATGTGGGGTTTCTTTATTTGAACACTAAAAGCTGCTATACTGTGTTCAGTGCTAGTACACAGTAGATTAACTGTACAGATATAATTTGGAACTGATTACCCAGCAGATCCCAGTACTGCATGGAGGCCA